CTTTTTTCTATCACTCCTATCTGATCTTGCTTTTTCTGTAACCCCTTGCGTCCTAGTGGCTTCCCGCCTTGCTTGGGGTGAAACGCTTAAAAAATGCAATGTATGTAAGCAATTCAATGTAAATATAAGGAATGTAGTGAATTTAATTTTAACAGATCCTCAAATGGGGCTCATGGCAGCTAATGGGTTAATATCGATTTATGCAACCGATTTTTGTGTTTGTATTTTCTTTAAAATTAATATTCGAATTTATTTTATTTTATTTTATTTTTTTCTGTTTGTGTAGAAAATTTTACATGTCGATTCCATAACATCGTTTCTGGATGGATACGTATATTTGATATGTTTCACAAAAGTACATTTTCTTTTCTTTTTTTTTTTTTCGCTGTTCTAATTTTGCCTTAGAAATGATCCCCGTAAGTAACATTTAAATGATAGGTATGTATTGGCGCTGATAATTATTTGAAATGTCAGGTTGTCACTTTTGCGTGACAACCGCTCGCTGGCGTCCGTCACTTATCAACGAAACACTCGCTGTGCACCATCGTTAATAGCTATGTCAACCTAAACCACACACACAAGTATGCATACACACACACATGTACATACACGCATACACACACACACATATATATAAACACTGAAACGTTTTGATAATCCTGCTTATGGCACGGCATCGATTATACGATAAGCATTTTTTTTTATACAGAAACAAATAAATAAAATAAAAAAAGAAGAGAAATAGGAAAGAGAAATCTATATAGACGGTGTGGATCGTTCTAATGGTTTTGAAAATAAGTTCTTCCAAAAATCAGCTGACAAAAAGGCAACAGCTTTTATGGCGTACAAATGTCGTACAGAGGATATGTAAATAAGTTATTTTATTTTATTTTCTAAGGTGTGTCATGCATAGAACTGATGATCCCTCACAATGGACATAGAGCAACCCAAGCTTCTGAATGTTGAATTTGGAGAAACAAATCAACAGACATTGATTGAATATATCTCCAAATTTAACAACTTTGGAATAGACCAAAAAACTTTTCTCAACTGTGTCACTGGTCTAAAACACACACATACACACACATATATGCATGCATGCTATATTTATAGAGTAAAAGTGCTCAATATCTGGGAAAGAGCATGTGTGAATATAAGAAGTGTGGACATTGATGTCAACACTGAATGGCCACAGCCTGTTTCATACTTGAAGGCAATCATCATGCCCGAAGACAGTTGCCACACAGTATTGGCATCACTGGTATAAAACACACACACACACACATATATATATATATATATATATATATAGATATATAAAGACTATAAAACGTTTTGATAATCCTGCTTATGTTACGGCGCATCGATTATACGATAACCATTTTTTTAAAATACAGAAATAAATAATTAAAATAAAAAAGAAGAGAAAAAAAAGAGAAATCTATATAGAAAGGGTTTTCTCTGCCCGCTTTCGACAATGTTATCTTTGGATGGTGTTCAGGGTAGTTGTAGGAAAAAAGTTATTAGTGAAAATAATGGTGATTCTAAATAATGAAAAGGAAACTGATCCCAAATTTACAAATTCGGTGTCTGGCAAGCAAAAACTAATCGAGGAAATAAGAACAATTTTCATCCACTTAATTTATAGTAAAAAACAAATAAAAAAAAAACTCATATTTAATCTAATATAATAAAAATAAACTGGTTCCCCCACCACGCGTTTTCGTCAAGAGAGTGACTAGACAATCAGCAAGATTAAAAAAATACAAGAATATACAGAAAAAAAATAAAAGGTAAGGACAGAGGAATGAGATAACGGCTAATATTTGTTATTAAACCTCGTGAAATGTTATGGATCCAGCTCGTTAGAATCAATCTTAATAACCGCAGCAAAAACATTTCTTTTGAAATTCTCGTATTGTCCTTTGTAGCTTTGTTACTTTTGTCAGATTATAAAGTACCATGCAGCCAAATAATAGCCATCGAATGGTCGGGCCATAGACTGACTAAACCGGTTGCCTATCAGGCTTTTCTGGTGAAGAAAGAGATTAGACACGTTGCTAGGCAGAAGGAAATGTAGGAAGAATTAGACATGAGTCGATAGGGTGACCCAGAAATGATTTTTTTTCTTTACGGGCTGAACAAGTTAAAATACATGGATCATA